CCTAAGTGCAGGACTTTGCACTTCTCTCTATTGGAATTCATTTTATTTGTCTCAGCCCACTGTTCCAGCCTATCTAGTTTATTTTGAATCCTAACTCTGTCTTCTTCAGAATTAGCAATCCCACCTAACTTCGTGTCATCTGTAAATTTGATAAGCATCCCCTCTATGTATTCCTCCAGGTCATGTATAAAAACATTGAACAACACCGGGCCCAGGACCAAGCCCTGCAGCACTCCACTCGAGACTTCCCTCCACGTAGATGCAGAGCTAACAAGCGGGGAGAAAACTCACCTGGCCAGCAATGATGCCAGCCTGCTGTCTTCCTCCCCTTGCTGGGTTTAAATTTTTAATTTAAATTAAGGGCCCCCCCAGGCACCAGCAGCCCTCCCAGAACTCCCCAGGATTAAAAAAATATATCCTGACTACAGGCCTGCTGTGACACAGATCAAGACTTGAGCAGCTCTCTGTGTATAATTTTTTTAAAAATAAATGGGGGGGTGCTTTTCTCAAAGTCATTTGCTATCCCAAAGGCAGAGGGGCAATTTCAATGAACTTTGGGGAGCAAAGAAAAGAGGGGAGAAGAATTATGTCCTCAAAATATGGAGCTAACCGTTTATCGGAGGTTATCCACAGAGTTTTGAACAGCACAACCCTCCATCTTGTTAACTGAGAGCAAGTGAGGAATGCAACCTGCGCATGCGCCTTTTCTCAAAGTGGTCAGTGGTGGAGGTATTGCAATGGATGGAGATATAAATGAAAAGGGGAGGGGGCCTAACCCTACCTAAATTGAATTAAGCGCCTAAAGGTTAGGAAGATCTGAATGTATAGACCCTGTGATTCTGTTAATCAAATTTAAATGATTAAATATTGACAGATGTACAAAAGTATACATGTATTTATTACAAAGTTGATTAAAAAGAGATACTGGCCCTCATTAATGCAACAACCATTTCTTATAAATTGGCAAAGATTATTTTTTTTAATTATTAGTGCCTGTGCCCAAAGGCAAAGATATTAATAAGAAGCCGCATTCTTAATAGTTTGCTGCCATGGTCAGGTACACTTTCCGATAACAATGATTCACTTGTTCAGAAAAATTCAATGAAGCCAGGAGCCAATAGTGATATAACAGTACCACAACAGCCAATATCTATCTTTAATCGACATGTATATTTTTGTATATCTCTCAATATTTAATAATTTTAATTTGACTAACAGAATCATTGGGCCTATACATTCAGGCCTTTCAATGGAGCACTCTGTGGGGCTGTAGGTGGCGTGAAGCCCCCCCCCCACGACACCCCCACCCCATTCCTCTCCAGGCAAGGGCTAATGAAATCAGCAAACCATCATTAAGAAAGGCAAGGGTGACAAACTCAGAGTGATGGACCACTTTTTAAGAGCACAGTGCAGGCCCATGA